GGCTGAGCAAACGTTCGCAACAAATATTATTAAAGAAACCGACAACAGAAGCATGCAAATCACATATGGAGATATATATATATATATATATATATATATATATATATATATATATATATATATATATATATATATATATATATATAAATCAGAGTTGAGTTAAACTTATATTGTTGGAAACAATGAGTAAATAGTTGAATGTAGGGATAAATATAAAATTTTATATTAGAGAAATAAATTTATAAAATATTAGACGATTTAAATTTATAAAATTTTAAGAAGCGAAAATAGATTATCAATAAAAGTATAAAAATATTTAAAATATATGAGAACTTAAAACATTTTTAACGTGATTGCTCTCACTTATTCGCTTCGGTCCATCTTTGATTTAGGGCTGAGCAATAGACTCGAGAAAACTAAAAAATTGATATGAGCCACATTATACAGTTCAATTCGGTTCGGATTTTTCATTTTGCAATTCAATTTTGGTTCGAGTTTTTCATACAGAACTTACTTATTCAAAATCAAACTGAATTAAAAAAGAAAAAGAAATAATTATTTAAATCAAATCAATTTTGAATTTATTATAAAAGAAATTTAAATAAATAAAGTCATAAAACTAAAAATATTATTTTTTGTGAATTTAAACTTGTGTGTTGGATTCAATTTAAGTTTACATTTTTTTTATTTGTATATTAAGTTTGAAAAATAGTTAATAATTAAAAATCATAAAACCAAACCGAACATTATGGTTTTTATATCATTCGATTTCAGTTTCATTTCAAAAATAAATAACATAAGACGATTTAATTTATCTTTTATCAAAATATCGAACTGAATACATCGTACCCTGATTGAAGTTATCGGTTTTAATACGGCGACAATCATGTCTAAGGAGTCCCCCACAGCCAGGTGGTCCTAGTTTGTCCCTTGCACCCCATCAAGGTTCAATTTCAGCAAACGGAGGGGACCAAAACACAGCGGCTCTCTCTGTCCTAATAATAGAGCCACATAGATTCAGCCACTTGCAACCGCATACTCCTAGGATAAATTACGAGCATTCCTTAAACTGAATCAAATTCATTAAGTGAAATTAGAAGAGCATAGATACTGTTAATCAAGCAATTTTGTAAGTTTATTTTTAGCCAAAAACTTCGTTACAAGATACTGTTGGAAAGAAGAAAAAAAAACATTTGTTACTTTTCATTTTTGGCATTATGTTTGCAATATCAGAAAGTGGTCCAGTAATAGAAACCTTGTAACAGAGTGGTCCATTAACTATGAATATCACATGCGTTTTTAGCTTTTATTTATCAAATTAATTAGGGTAAACTACACGGTCACTCATGTTTGAGTAAATTCTTTTTTCTCTATTAATGTTTTAAAACTAACGATTTGATCACTAATGCTATCGATTTATAATAAATCGATCATTCGATGTTAACAACCATTACTGTGGGTGACTGAAAGCTAATGTAACACGTTAACTGTTGATTTGGCACTGGTTGACCTCAAGAAAAACATTTTGGCTGGTGTTTCTCTTCAATCTCACTCTTCATTCTCCATATTTTGTGTAACCCTCAAAACTCACCATTTCTCTTTAATCTTTTCAATCTCTATGCTATGTACATGCACTGCCTCATCGGGTACGAAAGAGCATATCAGCTTCACGTCGCGTGTGTAGTGTGACGGATAGTAGAGTAGGATATACCAACAGTAAGGTGAAGGCCTATTTTGGAATATCTTTTTCATTCATTATCATAGCCAACAAATAAAATCTTAATATGAAAAAAATACTATCAAATTACAGAATTATTAATAAGAATGAAAGACTGAAAGCATGAACGACGGGGGATCGGATTTAACATTTTATGTCATGTTAGAGGTCGTGAATTTTTCAAGGACATGGTTACCTTTCAAAAAAAATGAAGATTTTTTGAAAATGAAGATTTAATGTTTGAAGATTAGGGAAGAAGAGGATGAGATAAAAAAGAAGATAATTATTTAAAAAATTTAATTCATAAGCAAATAAGATGTGTAAAATAAATGGTGTGTACTCATTCAATTGGATAGAGATTATGGATGAGGTGGTAAACAAGGTTCATAAAATAATTATGCTAATTCTATTAATATCTCGTTGATAATATTTGTAATGTTTTTTTAACAAATTAAATTGTTGTTCCTAGAGTTCACGGGTTAAAGCACCAGCGACCGTAAGAGTGATTAAGCATTCATTGTCAAATGATTGCGAATACTTAGAACATATACTACTTTAGCTTAATAAGGAAAACATTAACTATGTTTCAATAACAATTACTACGCCTAGCCAAAAAAATCACAATTACTACAAAGTAGTGACAGGATTCATGGATAGGCAAAAATCTATGAACTTTAAACTTTGAGATAATCATGTATAACTTAAAAAGTATAATGAGTAAATTAGACACAAATTGCGTATGAGAAAAAGACAAGAGAACAATACGTTCAAAAATCTTGTAGTAAAAAAAGAAGGGAAAAAGATAACGTTGCATAATCTTGAGAACATTTGTTAGATTTAACCACGTGGTCTACTAATCATAAGTCTAAAAGGTAGCCTCCATTTGCCTATAAATTCGAGTACCTTGGAATTGGTTCAAGGCAAAGCAATCGGATTCATTGAAAAACTAAAAAAAATGGAGATATCAGTATTGAGACTAAGCCTTTTGGTGTTGGTTTATCTGGTGGGTTCTGCCGCAGCACAAAGTGCTGAAAATGTGAATGCTTATAAGGTCTACTTCAAGGCTGTGGAGAATAACTGGGACATGAATGCTGCTCATGTTTACTGCGCCGAATATAATGCCAATGAGAACTTCGAATGGCGCAGCAAATATTATTGGGCCGCCTTCGGTGATTCCCATGGTCCCGTAGGGAAGGAAGCTTGTGGCCTGTGCGTCAATGTAAGTAATATTTTCAACATCTCAGTTTCTCCAACTCAAATATATATGTATATTCATCGAGTTATCATTCATGTGTAGGTGACAAACACCGCTACTGGAGACGAAACAACAGTGAGAATCGTTGGTCCCAGCAACAGTGGACTAGATTTGGACGAGCCAGTGTTTCACAAGCTAGACAGTGATGGGCAAGGCGAAGTTGTAGGGCACCTTGTTGTGAACTATAAGTTTGTGGATTGTGATCCAAAACCAGCAGGTCCTGATGAGACTAATGTCCTAGCTTATTATTCAGAAGACTACAACCCTTTAGAGAATAATTGGACCTATCCTTCACACGCCGCTTGCTACGCCTTGGACGGTGGTAAACCCTATGAGTGGCGCAAAAGATATGGATGGACCGGTTACTGTGGCAAGTATGGCTCTAATGCGGAAGAAATTTGCGGCCAGTGCTTAAAAGTAACCAACACACGCACAGATGACTCGATAATTGTGAGGATCACGGATACATGCGGCACCGGAGCGCTGGAGTTGGACTACGAAACGGCTTTTAAACCGATCGACACTGATCTTCAAGGGCATAGAGATGGACATCTTACAGTGAACTACGAATTTGTGAACTGTGATGACGATGTGGGTTCCCCACTTGTCTATTCCCAGTAACTTCGATATATGTTACCAAAGACGTGAGAATTCCCACTCGATTTAACACTACTGATGTTAAATCGTATAAACTATTATGTAATAAACATGTTACCGCGGGAATCATGGATTTCGTTGCGTTTGTAACATTAGATGAATAAAAAGTGGGATTGTTTCAACTGCTCGGAATTTCTATTTTAATGATTTTTATTTTTGTTTTAATCATATGTCGTTAAGAAATTACTCCTTATATTGATATAAGTTTTGGAATAAATGTCTTCGATATTGTGCTTAGTCAAATGGGTAAGTGTTTCCCCTCTCTTTAATGGGGTGTGAAATCAAACTTGTTGGCTGCATTTGGAAAGTTTTGGTCATCATCTTGTTAAAATCTAAATAAGACAAGAGTATAAGGAAGAATTAATGTCAAAATTAGCCCATAACATTTATCAAAATAGTATTTTAGACCTTTTTTTTTGAAATATTTTGGCCCCAACATTTCATTTTAAAGTAAAAATATATTTATTTTAAAGTATTAATCGTTTGTTAACTAACAATTTTCACTCACAAACAAGCCTTTTTACTTCAAAATAAAACGTTAAAGGGTTAAAATATTCCAAAGAAAATACTAGAGACTAAAATAAATATTTTAATAAATATTACGCTAATTTTAACATTATTCCAAAAAGAACTCCACTTTAAAGCCACTGATTGTATATATTAGATCACTTTCTCCCAACCCAATATAAAACAACCCGAATGGCTCAATGGACTCACATATTGGGCCAAGATAATAAGCATCATAGGCCTATAACGCCTCAAACCTAACTTTCATGGTATTGCATCTAGACAGCATGTTCAAACACTAGGGTATATATTATGACGGGTTTAATTTCACTAAATTTAAAGGTCTTAAAAAGTAATTAAATCACGTAAATTTAGGTTAAACGCTTAACTCCTTTAATTTTAAAAGTTACAATGACCTAAAAATAATTATACCAAAAAATTGGGGAGGAATAAGGGCTCAATTATAATCATTTTATAATTATCAGTGACCTAAAATATAATTAGATCATCAAATTTGGGAGGGGTAAAAGCTTAATTATAATAATTTTATAATTATCAATGATCTAAAATGTAATTAGACCATCAAAGTTGGGAGGGGTAATTGCTCTTCCCACCTATAACGTACATCCGTCCCTAATGAAGTCCCCTTGGACCTCCTCTCTCTCTTTAAAGTTCTTTCGTCTCTTTCACATAATCCATTTTTCTCTCAGACCTGAAATGTAATCGGTGAATAACTCTTCGTACAAATTAGAAAGAAAACAAATAATTTGTTAATACCTAAAACATTTTATTTTCGTATTAATCATTGTATATCACCACCTTACTCATTATACAGTACATGCATGCATTTGAATATAATTCAGCTCATTCGCCTGCTTCCATGATTTTGGAGAAAGTCTTGGTAAACCAATCATGTTTCGTTTTGATTACAATATTCCCAATCACTGTTCCCAATAGGAATCCAAATCCATAGCCCAGAAATATTGCTATCCAATCCAATGATCCAGACCCTTCTGAACTAGTTGAAGATGGAGTCGGCAATCCTCCAGAATTAGTGTTACATTCTTTTAGCAATTGTTTTCCACACAACCCTGGATTTCCTTCAAAGGAACTACTTTGAAAAGTATCAAATTGGTGGCCCTGTGGTATAAGCCCTGTGAGATGATTATGAGAGAGGTTGAGGAACTCAAGGAAATTGAGTCCAGGACTCAACTCCAAAGGAATTCTTCCCTCTAGCTTGTTCCTTGAAAGGTCCAAAGATTCAAGATTAGTGAGCTTCGCTATAGCTTTTGGGATTCCTCCAACTAGATTGTTATTCGAAAAATTGAGCAACTGAAGCTCTTTGAGATTCCCAATGGATTCTGGAATTTCTCCACCAAATCTGTTGCAGGAGAAATCAATGGCTGCAAGAGTCTTAATGATCTTTGTGTACTGCATTTCTGTGCCTTTGCTTGTGATTGCCATTGAGTAGGCACAAGACCTGGGAACTTGCATGTCATTTATCATCATATTTGAATTTTCAACCATGTAAGAAGCTTGTGAGTTTTTCCCATCTAGACTTGCCATGGTGATCCATCTTTCAAAGTAACCTGATGGCAGGGTTCCATTGAATCCGTTGTGAGAGAGATCGATGACTCGCAACTTAGGGAAGACGATGCAGGTAACTCACCAGAAAAGCTTGTATTCCACAACGCCAACGTTTTAAGATTGTTGCTGAAACTGAACTCTGGCAAGTAACCTGTGAGAACATGATTGTGTAACAGCCAAATAGTTTCAAGCTTGAGAAGCTGGAAAATGGCTGATGGAAACATGCCCTGCAGTCCACAACCCTCGAGATAAAGGGATGTGAGCTTCGAAAAGTTGGCCAACACACTGGGAACCGGAGAAGCCATATCTACGTACGAGAGATGCAGCTTCTCCAAGTTTGTTAAATTCTGTATCAAATTATTCAAATCTGGCTCTTTGAGTTCCAACAACCTTCGAAAAGGGTTAAACTCTTGATTATTTGAGAGATCCAGGGAAGATAGCCTATAGAGCTTTGAAATTTCTGAGGGTATTTGACCAGAAAATACAGAACTACAGGTTAAGATACGTGAGCACGGAAAGATTGCCCAACGCAGAGGGAATCAGAGAGTGATTGAAATCATTGAAAGCCAGGTTAAGCTTTTGAAGGTGAAGGAGGAGAAAGAGACTGCTGGAGGAATTGATGGAGCCGCAAAGGCAACCACTGCTGAGGTCAAGGCCTATCACCACACCGGTCATTTGGTCACACTCTACGCCATCCCATGAACAGCAATCCACACCTTGTGAATCCCAACTATCAACCTTAGGATAAGAAGACGAAGTAGCAGAACAAGCATGCTTGTCGATGATGAAGCTCTCCTTGAACTGCATCAAAGCAAGACGCTCATCAATGTGACAAAGCACTGACGGCTGCTCAGACGAGGAAGAAAAGGCAATGAATTGGACAAAGGCTACGATGAGAAGAAAGCATGAAAATGAAAGTGAAGGCCTCATTGTATATGTTGATTTTTCTTCATCTTCGATGTACGAGCTTTTATAGACAAGTCCTTCGGATTCCGAATCACGTAACGAGATCAAGTATCGTGTACATGGGTTAAGGCCCGCGGGTTACCCGTTTAATCCGCGGCCCGTACGGGTTTTGGACATAAAAAATTAAAGCTCGTTTAAATTGCGGGTTTTTTAACCCGGACCATTAAACCCGTGGGTTTAATGGGTATAACCGCGGATAGCCCGCGAAGCCCTCAATAACCCGCTTAATTTAAAATTTATAAAATTTTAGAGAAAATAAACTTAAAGAATTTTATTGAAAAAGAAAATAAATTACTTATAAATATGATGTTATTTATAATCATTGTAGTTCTTAAATTTATTAGAGCGTTTTTCATAATTCTACCGTTGCTTGATTTTTTTTTTCATTTACAATGCATCAAATTATTTTTCATTTTAAAAAATAAAAATTAAAAGATTTATATAGTATTTTAGTGTTATAAAATTTACATCATTATCACTTTGGTATTTAAAGATTTTTTTATTTAATTTTGACATTTATTTTTTTTCATGAAGTATGTTATCAATTTCGTTTTTTAATTATAAAAAGTCAAGTGATATTCTAATAATACATCACATGACACGTAATATTTGGATTAAAAATGAAAACATATTTTTCAACTTTTAAAGATTTTTAAAGGCTTTTACAAAAAAAATATATTTTAACAAATTAATGACTTATATTTTATCAATTTTAATATAACTGTATCTTTCAAATTTACTCTTATAATGTAAGTATTTTATTTTATATTTTCATATTATATTTTAGTCTTTCTCTAAAGTATCCATAAAATACAATTATTAGGATCACATGACAATTTTCTTGTTAGATTTGTATAATGTTTGACTTTGTTGAATTTTTATGTTTGAATTTCTGTTTGCAGATACTTCTTTGTCTTCATATAATAGCCTTAAATAATCGTGTTTTATAAAAATATAATGTGGTTATTGTTTTATTTGTTTTTCAATTTGGTGATATAAGTGGATATTGTTTTTTTAATTTGAGTTTAAGTAATTATATCATTATATATATATATATATACATATATATATATATTAATGATTTAAAAATTAAAAATTAAAAAATATTATTTTGTAATCATTTCCGACTATTTAAAATAAAATTTAAATATTATTTATTATTTTGACGGTGCTACCTTTATTTTCAAGTTGTTGGATCATTTTTAAAGGTGTAGCAAATTAAAACATTATTTTTTATTGCATTTAAAATTGTTGTTATTTAAAGGGTTGCAGGTAAACCCGTTTAAACCGCGGGTTAAATAGACGGGTCACGGGCCTTAAAATTCAAAATCATTTAAGAATGTGAATTTTTTAAACCCCTCCATTTAAACTCACAACGTCAAAATCCGCGAGTTAAATGGGCAGGTAGGCCGTATACCAACCTCTAAGTATAGTTGGCTGAGAATGACCAAGGGTAGCCGTATATATATGGGGGAAGACTTTTTCCCCTTTTTGTCCTTTTATAATAAATATTAAACTACACTTTTAGTAACTAAACTAGTTATTTTAATATGTTTTAATACTTAAAATTTTGATTTTTTTTCAAATCCATACTTATATTATCAGTTTTGGCCCTTTTATTAAACTAAAACTAAATGTAAGTTATGATTTTGAAAAAATTAAAAGTTTAGATATTAAAATAGACCAAAACTGATAATTTAGATATTAAACTCATAATTTACCCTATAATGAAATCGTGGGAGGGATTATTTAGATAGATAAATATCAAAAGTAATATTTAACTTTCTATATCAACTTCATTTATTTTTGAAAAATTTTATATAAAAATTCTATTTGATTTAAATTTATAAATTATTAATATCATTATTTATATAACACTATTATATAAATAAATATTTATATATTATATACATAACTATTTATATTTATTTAGTATGTAAATAAATAATTATATTTATTTTTATATAATTGAACTAAAATTCATGTGTATAGTTATTATATTTAATTTTTACCTAAATGAAAATTAAAATATTATGTATATAATTACAATTAATTAAAATTTATGTATTACACCAAATATTTATCAAATTTTACACTAAAAATTAAGAAAATTCAAGTTACGCGCATACACTTTCATGGAACTTGAGTACTTTTCTAAATTTTCCACTAAATTATGATGGCATGTATTAAGTTATATAACCATAATAAGGCATGTAAAGATCTTATTCTATATGAAATTGAATTTCACATGTATGCAAGTTATGATCTTATATTGATAAATTGTTATAATGTTTATAGTTTTTTATTTCGGAGATACATATGAATGGACTAATGGTTTAATGTTTAGTTGTGTTTTCGTGCATATATATAAAATTTATGTAAGGAGGTGCGAACTTAAGAAGATATATTAAAATTTTTAAAGTATGCAGTTGAAAAATTTTAGAAGGTGCGAAACTAAATAATCAATAAAAAAAATTAAAATATAAGGGAGTTCAAAAATTTTAGTGAGTATGACCAACCCCTTTACCTCTAGGTCCATCCTTATATATAAATTTTAATAGTATTTAACAGTAAAATTTTGATACTTTTAGTTCATAAGGTGTCAACACACCTTTTCGTCTTACTAGGATTCAAACTCTTAAAAATATGATATAATTTTAGGATTCAAACTCCTAAAAATGGGATAGAGTTTTACTATGATTCAAACTCCCAAAGATAGGATCCACAAGCATTATAAATAGCCATTGTAACTCACTATTGTAACAGAAGAGATATATGAAATACCAAGAAAAAAATTACAAGCAACTCGTAGCCATTTTTCGAAGCATTTATATTTTGAAAGGTAAAGTTCATATTTTCGCATGTTATTTTTCCTTACCTTTGCTGTGTTTTGATTCGAAAGAAAACCGAGAGAAGTGTTTTTGGCCAATGAACGGGGGCGTTTTCGAGATCTATTTTTGTAGATTTAGCCCCCGAGACTTGTGTTTTTTTGAAAACCTATTCGAATTTTTATAAACGGGTCGTGTGGATCCGTGTGTTTTGCCTCTACAGTGGGTTAATGCCAATTTCGGTCCCTCTGATTTTAAATACACACAGATTCATTTTTTTCTTCGATTGTCTTTTAATTTCGACCCATAATTCATTTTTTGTTTTAATTTAACCCTTATTATATATATATATATATATATATATATGTTTAATTATATTTTATTTATTTATTATAGTTCTCTTTTTTTCATTTTTTTGTGTTATATTATATTATTTTCCTATATATATATATATTATATTATTATTTTTTATCTATGTTTACTTATTTACTATTTTTTATTATATCTTCCTAACGTTATATATATATATATATTCTTACTTCATTTTATTTTATATTTCTATGATTACTATTTTTTTAGTTAATATTATATGTATATTTATTTTTCATTTATTTATTATTATTATTACTATTTAGTATTTTATAATATTATACATACATTTTTATATTTTTATATATATATATTTTTTTATTATTTTATTTATACTATTTATTTATTTTCATTATATTTTTAGTTTCTTTGCTCTTATTATTATTTTTCTTTTTTAAAAAAATACTTTACCTTTTTTATTCTTTTTGTATATATATTTTATCTTCATTTATTTTATTTTATTTTATTCAATTTCATTTTATTTTTTTTGTTTCATCCAATTATTTTATGTTTATTATTATTGGTTTCACTTATTTCCTTGGTTTACTCTTTAGTTTTGTTACTTTCTTTTATTATTATTATTTTCTTTTAACATCTTATTTTTTAAGGGTATTTCCGTAAACTCATTAAGGGTAAGTAATTCGGATCAAATTTTACCTTTTAATTTTAATTGTAATTTTCTTAATTAAAGACAACTGGAAATTACGTAGTACCGAAAGGGCAGTTCAAGGGTGTTAATCCTTTCTTGACCGTAACCGACTCCCGAACCCGACACATCTTTGGAAAGACACAGATTAGGTAAGAAATAGGGTATCC